TGCCGTCATTATGAATTATTATAACAGAATGATTAGTGACATTAGAAAATGTCCATGATTTTATGTTAAGTGACAAAACAAAAAACCTCCTTATATTGTAAACATCTACTTTTGTTTAATGAACTATATATATGTATGTGGGATTAGAAAAAAAGACTATTTGGAAGTTTTCTGAAAACATTATTGCTAGTGGTACAATCTATTTGAAAAATTTAAATTTACATCAAAAAACGTCTCAGTATTCCTCAATAACCATGTGTTGCTTTGTAATAAGAGAATCAAATTATTCTTAAAAACAAATTAAGATTATTTGTGTAAAGTGCTTTGGAAATCATATTGTGCTACATGAATGTTAAATGTTATTAATATTTTTCTGGGACTTTAGAAGCATAGTTGGATTCATGTGTAAATCAATAAATTTGACTGCAAGGAAGATAAATTGGTCAGTGGGCAGCATTTTGTGCTGTTCCTCCAGCAAGCCCACTCCCTCCGTGTGCTCCTGCTCCCCTCCCCCTCAGCAACTCAGCAGCTGTGAGACCCACCCAACTCTAACCTCTGTTTGTTTTTCTTCTTTGCCTTTATCCACCACCCAGGCCACCTTCCTCTGGTATGTGCCTGTCTTGTCTTGTCTCCAGGGCTGAATCATGCCTCAGAAATGGAAAACACCTCAAGGCCAGGGTCTGTGTTGAAAACCTGAGGCCCAGCTGTGAGTGTTACACCAATATCCACAGTGGGGGTTTCACTAGACTGCAGATTCCAGGCTAGAGGGCAGGCATGGGTGGTGCCATGTGTATGGGCTTTTGGGCTGTGGCCCTGATGGAATGCTAAAGCCAAATGGCTAGACACAAGTGAAGAAAAAGCCACTCCTTTGGTATGATTTGAGGGCATCCTATGGTCTTTCTCACCCCAGTGGTCTCTGGTGCTAACTCACTGTCCTTTGCTTCTGAGATCTCCACCATTAGAGAAGGCTCCTGTTAAAATGTATATGGATCACCTGGGGCAGCACCAAATCCTAATAATAGGCTCTGGAATCAGTCAGGGACCTAGTTAGATCTGGATCCCAACTCCAATACTGCTTGGGGATGTCACTTGATATCTCTGAGCCTGGGTCTCCTCATCTGTACACAGTGACAGAAAGCACTTATACACACCAAGCATATGACAGGCCCAGTTCTAGGTGTCTTTCTATTATTAACTCATTTGAGTTACACAACAACCTTAATAGGCGTGTGCTGTTATTATCATGTCCATCTTACAGATGAGGAAACTGAAGCCCAGGGTGGTTAATTCACTTACTCAAGGTTTCACAGGGTCAGCACTAGGGTAAACCAGGCAGTGTGGCTCCAGAATCTGTTTTTAACGACCATGTTGGAGAGCCTCACTGTAAGATGGGACAATAGTAACTATGCTTTATTAGGAGCTTATTTAGTGCCAGGCACGATGCTAAATGCTATTCAGGAATTTCTTGTTTATTCATTCCAGTGCCTGGATGAGGCAGGGACTATTGTTACATGCTAACATCGACCTGGCAGGACAGCCTACTGTCTCTCTATTAAGCGCTGGGCCTTTAGGAGGTTGTTACAGACTAGAAAAGCTAAGATGTGCCCATAAATAACTGTGACTCATGGTAGAATCAGAACCTGATGGAGCTGGAAGAGAGCTTAGAGATTATCTGGTTTAAACTCATTTTTACTGATGACAGAACTGATTTGCTTCGTTTATTCCCACAGGGTCTGAGATAAGATCTAGTGATATAACAATAGCCAACAGTGACTGAGTTGTTTGGTCAGTGTGTGTGTGTGTGTGTGTGTGTGTGTGTGTGTGTGTGTGTGTGTCCGAGCTTGTCTATCTCATTCAACTCTCACAACAACTAGATAGGAGAGGCACTATTATCCCCATTTTACAGATGAGACAGATGTGCAGTTAAATAAGCAACTTGTTCCAAGTTAGGTAGCTAGCAAGTGGTGGAACTGGAATGCTGGCAGAGGTGAGTCTAGAGCTTGAGTGCTGAACCACCATGCTCCATGCCTCCCAGTTATAGAAGATGGTTAAGAAATCTGGGAAGAGGGGGCTGGAATAGATGAATCAGAAAGTGCTTTGTAGACCATAAAGTGCTATATAGACATGAGTTATTATTATAAAGAGATAAGACTCCCACGAGAGGTATAAAGTGGTAGAGAGCTCAGGGCAAAATCAAGGAAGATTTCTAGGATGAGATGGCATTTGGTTTGGATTTAGAACTGTGTTCCTGTGGAGGATTGAGGAATGTCAAGGGTGTGTGTAGGGTGGTAGTGGGGAAGGGTTTCTTCTAGCCCTTCCCCATTAGCATGGGATGATTGGTCAGATGAGCTAGTTGGCACCTTGGCCCAAGTGAAGGGATCATGACCATAGAAAGCCTTAGGTACCTCTGGGCGAGATTCTAGCTACAGAGAGAAGACTGGGTGGGGGCCACTAAGAGGGTGACAAGAAAAAAACAACCCCAGGAAGCAAAGTGCTGGAGGTTGGTCCTGTCTTTGGTCTAGTTGGAAGGCTGCATTTTTTTTTTCGTTATCAGCAAATCAGTCTCCATCAGGACATAACTACTCACAGTTACATTTTATTATTGTTCATTTGCTCAGTAGCTTTCTGTCAAGGGGAAGGGAAATAGGTCAGAAACACAAGGAACTATTTCTGGGCTTTGGCCTTTGGAAAATTAGCCTCGTTCTGTTTACACAGTCTCTCTTCAGATTTACACAACCCAGCCACAGACACGTCACTTGCCAAGCCCAGGTAAATAGAGGCAAGCAAATAGTCCTGATCAACCAATGGCTATTGAGCAACTAAAGGATCCCAGAACTCTATACTAGGTAACTGTGATAACTATAGAAGAAAAGAGCAGCTCAAGGCTCCTGACCTTGGCCTATTGGAGCAGAAGTGTATTCCTATTTGGGGGAGGAGGCCATGCAGTGCAAGTTCTGAGCCCTTCTCTGGCATGACTCTCGGTCCAGTCATTTCTCCTAGCACCCACCCAGTTACATCACTGAATTGAGGTATTAGCACTAGGATGAACCTGTTTATCTCACAAGGGTGTGAGGAAGAATGAATAGCTGGATGAATCGGGTCTCCTTCAGAAAACAAAACTGAAGGGAAGAAGGGGCCAGTCTCTGGATCCCTTTCTTCAAAAAGTCAGATGGAAGAAGAAAATCAGTTGGAAGAGAGTCCCCAGGTCATACATCTGAATGTATCACTGCCAAGTCCACAGAGGCAAAAAAAAAGCCTGGTTAGCCTGACCAGAATTAGGTTTTCTTCAAACTCTGAAGCCCCAGAATGAAACCAACCAGCTTCCACCTCTTTTCCACTAGGTATTTCAGAGACTCTACCAGTAGAAACTCATCTTCAGCCTTCACTTCCAATATTGTTTTTATATGGTAAGGTGGGGAGGGTACGTTTGAGTAGGGATCTGCAAATAGGTAAGGTTGTGTTGCAAAATGAAAGAGAGAATTTGAGAAGTGGCCCAAACTCCCAATAATAGCTGGGAAACTGAGGTGAGGCTTTCGTCAACTAGAATTGGAATAGTGAGGTTCAAATAAAACAATTTACGTAAACTTGTTGAGTCTAGCCTGGTCCCTGGGGACCAAATAAATGTATTTGTTCTTTCTTTATGGTAGATATTGTCCTTTGGGTGGGAGGTGAAGGGAGCGGGACTGTTGAGGGGAGTTGGAAGTAACTTCCATATTGAGTTTATACTTTTTATGTCTGCTCCAGGAGCTTGATGGCCTCCACTGCTACCATCCTAGTCCAAGACCTTCCCCCTAAATGGCCTTTGCTTGTACTCTTTTGTCTTAGGGTTTATTCTCCACACAGCAGCCAGAGTGATCTTTTTAAAAACACAAATTATCTCTTGTCATTCTCCTGTTTAAAACTCTTCAAATGCTCGCATCAGACTTTTATGAGTAGAGTTTAAATACTTTACTATGGGTTATTAGTCCCTAACATGACTTGCACCCTGCTGACTTCATTTCCTATTTATGGTCCCATCTGCTGCAGCCATGCTGACCTTTGTTTCTGAACTCAAGACTATTCCCTCCTTAGGGCTTTCCTACCAGCTATTCCTGTTGCCTAGAATACCCTCTGTTCTTGTTACATGCCATGGAGGTCTTGACTGACAACATACAGTAAAGTAACTGCCCCCATCATTCCATTTCATTTGCTTCATAGCAAATGGTAATAATACTAACAACCAATTTTTCATTTTTTTATTTATTGTCTGTTTTCCCCACAGCAACACAAGCCTCTGAAGGGAAGGCATGGTATCTATCCGTCTGTCACTGAATCCCTAGTGCCAAGCAGAACCTGGAGATCTCTAGCGTTCCTTGGATAAATGATCTTTACAAACCTTAACAATCTTGCGAGGTTATGGAGAAAATCTGAGATTCTGTCAAGTTTAAGATTAAAGTCGTGGTCTATTTAAACAAAGACCTCACCTTCCTTCCGAGGATATCTCTCCCCTTTCCACCTGGATGAGTTACACTTGTCTCCCGACATTTCTCACGCACTTAATACCCCTATCCAGGCAGGACAGGCCAGACTTCCAGTCCCTTCTCAGAGCCTGGTGCAGTGGCTCTCAAAGTCTTCCAACATTTCAGGGGTTAAGAGAAGCCACCCCTTTCCAAATATGGACCCCTTCAGGTGCCCGAAACTCCCTCCCTGGGCCCCCAGTCAAGGGCAGAGACAGAGGCTGTCCCTACACCATCTATGGTAAAATGAGACGAGTATCCTAACCTACAGGTAGTAAAGGTTCAGTGCCTTCACTCTGTCTCTGCCCCTAGCTAGGGACCCCCAGGGCCGTGTGGGGCGAGGGGGAGGCTCCAGGCGTCAAGGGCATTGAGGACATCCAGGCCCTAATTGGAGATGGGCCAATTTCGCGCAGCAGAACCTTTCTTCACCAAGGCTTCGTTTGCTAGCCGGTCGACTTTGGAAGAGACACCCCACTTAACCGTCCCTCCCGCTCGCACCCTCCCCCTCCTGGCCCTGTCTGCAGAGGCTCGCATTCTTCCTCGCCCCGAGGTCCGGGGCTGCTGCCGCGGGAGCGTACCGCATCGCTCCTGGGGCCTCCCACGCGTGGAGTTCTGAAGCCATCGACAGCGCTTGGCACGTCTGAGCTCCGGTGGGCGAGGGCCTGCAGGTTTCCTCCAGCTAGGGAGGACGGAGAGCGGAGGCGGAGGCGGAGGCGGAGGCGGAGGCAGTTTCAGGCCTTAGGCCGGGCGGGCGGTGTAGGGTGAGACGCGCCCATCATTCGCCATCCGGGGCGCGCGCGGCTCCATTAGGACCTCACCGGCGACCCGTAGCTCGGGCACGCGCTTGTCGCAGCCCGCAGGAAGGAGGGGTCCGGCCTGAGGCCCGGGACGGCGGCCGCCATGGAGATCCCCTCGGCCCAGGGCCCGCGCCTGGGGCCTTGGGGGCGGCCCTGACCGCCCTCCTGCCTGCCGGGGCTGGGTCGCGGACGTGCCCCCGGCTGCAGTCGGCCACTTCTGCCTCTCCACCCTCCCCGGGCCGCGCAGCAGCTTGGGCGCGGCGGCGGCGACGGCGCCCTGTTGAATGGGCTGTGAGGGCCCAGGTTTGAAGCGCTGGCGAACGCGGCCTCCGGGGGCGCAAGGCAGCAGCAGCGGTGGCGACCAAACGGGTGTTGGAGTTGGCGGCGGCCATGGAAGGCCTGGCTGGCTATGTATACAAAGCGGCCAGCGAGGGCAAGGTGCTGACCCTAGCCGCCTTGCTTCTCAACCGGTCTGAAAGCGATATCCGCTATCTGCTAGGCTATGTGAGCCAGCAGGGAGGGCAGCGCTCCACGCCCCTCATCATCGCAGCTCGCAATGGCCACGCCAAGGTGGTGCGCTTGCTGTTGGAACACTACCGGGTGCAGACTCAGCAGACTGGCACTGTCCGCTTCGACGGGTAGGTACACCCCAACTCCAGCCTCCTCTCCCACGCGCGCGGACCTACCATTTCACGGGTCCTACCCTTACTCTTCTTCATGGAGGTATCACTTCTCCCTTGTTGTACCTCGTCCATCCCCATTAATGCCTACTTCATCTTCCAGGGTAAATACTCCATCCCATGGTTTGCTGCTCATCCTCATCGGCCCCTACTTCTTATTCCCTCTATAGGAAAATAGCCACACCCTCTGTCTTGATGTCTGATAGATGGATGTTCTTTAGATAGTCTGTGAAGAAGCAGTACGGAAGAGGTGGCTGCCTTTTCAGGTTTTACTTTTACCAGTATCGAGGTTGTAATCGAGATCAGAAATTAACAAGGTCAGCAGTTAACATTGAAGACCTCTGATGAGTTATTTGGCCAACCAATTTTTACCCCTGCAAGTGAGTGGTCTTATAAAGCCCTCGGTGGGTTTCTGGGGCCTTAATGTCAAAATAAGCCCCTAGAACCAGAAGCAGCTCCAGCCTCTTGAGGAATTGTCATGCAGCCAGACATCCCCAGACATTCTGACTCTTCCACATTGCTGGGGGTAGATATGTTGACTGCAAAAATGTCACTGGACCGGGTGTAGGAGATGATGCCATTGTTAAATTACATGTTATCCTGTGATGTGGGGAAGCTTGATAATTTACTGTTATTGGAGGTGGGCAGTTCTAAAATTCAAATTGTCATAGTTAAAATTTGCCCTTTTGGTTTAATTGAACATGTTTTTGGGGTATGATAATGGTGAGCTGGGTTCGTAGGTTTAACGTTGTCCTCTTTTATGTGCTGGATGATAATAAGTGTTTTACAATGGCGTAAAGATTTTGCTTGATTGATTGCATTTGTTTTTGTTGACTTGTGCCAGTACATAAGCAAGCTATTCTGATATTTTCTTTTGAGGTAGTTGTTGTCCAAGTGTAAAAATATGTATCTCTAGTTTTAATTATTAAAAACTGCTTGGTTAAAACCTGATTTAAAAAATCACTTTTTGAGGATGACTAAGGCATTGTTGAAATTTGACAGACTCTTTTTTAGGTTTAAATAATAAAGGCTTTTTGTTATGTTTTATATTAGAGGAAAATATTTTAGAGTATTACATTTTAATGAAATGATAGTCCACGGTAGTAGTTAATCTCTGGTACCACCTCTGTACACATTAAGGAGATGGTCTTTCATGTTGACCAAAGATAGCAACTTGATTCAGTTTGCTTTCCTATACTGGCTTCTGTGTCCTTTCTATAGCTCTCTGCATTCCCACAGCCTTATTCCCAGAGGAGAGGAATGAAGCAGAATGACCTCTGAACTTCCAGGACCATTCCAAGCACCTGCATCTATGGAGATATGAATCTCTGCAAAAATAGCTGCTGGGAACAATGATGCTAAGGAACCTGCTGAAGCCTATTTGGATGAGAGGAGAATAGTCGCAAAAAACATAGTTTTCTAAAGCATTAGGGAAGGCTTTGCTTATCTTTCTTAATTATTAAAGAGAAAAGTATTTTGAGGTAGCAATTAAAGAACCTGAAATGACTAGAAATGTAGCATTGAGACTAGATAGTAACTTACCTTGCCCAGTAATCTGCACTGGCCAATGACATTAAGAAGTACAGTGAACAAACATTTATTGAATACCTACTGGGCGCCAGGCTCTGTGGTAGGTTTTGGGCATACAGAGATGAATAATATACTGTTCTCACTGTGGAGGAAGACAGTCTAGTTGGGGGCAGCAGGGAGAAATAGGTATATCAATGAGTACTTGCAGATGCTATGCCATTTAGGATTATAGAAATCATTCAGATTACTGAGAGGGCAGAGGAAGAAGTGTGCTCAGCTTTTCCTGGGAGAATCAAAGAAGGCTTCACAGCTAGGCGATATTTGAGCTCAGCCTTCAAGGATAGCAGAAAGTGAAGAAGAGGGGCAGTAGTATGGTGCACTTGCAATGACAAGTGTTTCAGTGCAGTTGCAGGAAGGGATTCAAGCTGGGGAAATTAAGAAGATTGTAGGAGACTGGAGAGAAGTGGAGGCCAGATTTTGATGATCCTTGTGTAAAATAATAAGAGTCAGACTGGTGAGTCTGCAGTCAAATATTTGTCATTCGTGATTTTTGTCTGAGCATTCTTGAATCTTTTTTGTTTATGGATTGTTAAAATTATCAACTTATTAGCTGCTATGTTAAAGTAGTTTAGTATATATTTATTAAATAGCTATGATGGGCCTAGCCCTGTGCCATATTGTGTGGAAGATACAGAAAAAGTTTTACTTTTGAAGAGCTTACCAATTATAGCAAAAGAGAATCGGAGTTCATGGCCACCTTTCTGCCTACTCACACCACTCTCTGAGATTACTTTTGCAGTTTATCCCAGTCATTTTGGCATTTCAAAACTAGATAAAGAGGGTGTTATTTGCAAATGTCATGATTTCACTTTTTACTCATTCCAGACATTGTGAAAATGTTAGCTTGAGTGAGGTGTTCACAATATGAAGCTCACCCTTTCCTTTGGGGTGGCTTTGATGTACTTGGCCAACCCCCCATCCTTAGATTTTATTGGCTCTTGAGGCGTATGGCCAGGTGAGGACAAACTGGTTCTCTGTGCATGCTGAAGTAGATTAATGTTTGCTAATTTTTAGTCATTTTTGTACCGTCACATTTTTTTGCCAAATTATTCACAACCTATCCTGTGATTTGTCCAATATATATATTTTAAAAAGTCTCACTTAAGCAACAGTACTTGTGGGTTTGGTATGGGGTGTGTGTGTGTGTGTGTGTGTGTGTGTGTGTGTGTGTGTGTGTTTGAGAGGGAGACATTAAAACATTAAAATACCATTAAAAATTTAAAGTCTATGTTCTGCCTAAAAACATCTATAATACCTTAGGAAACAAAACTGGATTCATAATAGAGCTTCTGGGGGAAGGGACCACCCACGTAGATTAAACTTCACAGTGATACTTGAATCCTTGTTCACATTTTTAGGAGTAACATTTGATATTTTACTTATGGCTTAATATATGAAGGGCAAAATTGACATAGATGAGTGAACAAGAAGACAAGTTATATGAATGGAAATGAAAGAAGAACTTTTAGTTAGAGAATGGGAAGATGTTAAGAATGTTATAGCAATGGAACAGAACAAAGGAGAAGTGTCATGTGACCATAGAATATTGTACCAGCTTGAGCTTTGAGGGCCTGACTGCTCTGTGCCAGAATTTGTGGGAACCCCTGTAATAGAACAGGTTTTCAGACATGGATGGGAAGGAGAACACAGGATCTCTGGGAATTTTGAGGCTTTTTGTTGAGTATTCTTTCTTTTAAAGTCAGAGTTAGTACTAATACTTTTAATGAATGTCCAGGTAGAAGAAAGGCGTGAGGGGCATAATTTGACTTAATTTAGAAAGCCATTGCCAGTATATATTTCCAGGAAATACAGTTGATCTAATAAATGATTTTAAGGACTTTGATTAAAATAAAGTGCTGATTATTTACATGTAATAGATTTTTATTTCTCTTTCAAATGCTTGAATCAGACTTTTATTTCATATTGAACCAGGAAATAGGTGAGCTTTAGTTTTGTGATCAGAAATATTATCTTTTATTGTGAAATGTCTCCATCATATGATACATACATTTTGTTTAAAAAGGTGAATATCAGATTATAGTTTCTTGATTTTTAAGATGAGGGTTTGCATTGCAATTTTGGATTGAGTCTAGAAAGATCATTGTTTTATAGTGCTTCTCTAGGCACTAAATAATTGCATTAATTTTATTATATTTTTATTTTCTGTTATAAACACGTTTATATTTTGTTTTGAGGCAGCATATGCTTCTAATTCTAGCTGAATTTTATAGACAAAGGAATGTCTTAGATGTTAGGATCATAATTCTCTTTAATCTGTTTAATATTTTTGTTTAGACTTAGAATTTAAAAATGCACTACAGCTAATGTTTCTGTAGGACTAGTCATTTTAAAATACAGTCTGCAGTGAATTTGTCATAAATGAAAGAATTTTAATTACCTCAGTGAAAACAGATAATTGAAACTTTTTTGAGGCTTCTGTCGTACAAAAATAAGGAGAAATGGAAATTATTAGGCTTTATCAGGGAAAATATTAAACTTATAAAAACCAAGTGAAGTATATACTTGTAATTTAATTTCTACTCTTACATCATTCTTGGAAATTTGATGTCAGAAAAATATTTTAATTACTTTTATCTCCTTTTTAATCTTTAAAATGGGGGTCATATTTATCTTGTACTATTATTTCCAGAGTTACAGATAATGTATGTGAATGCCTACTTTAATGTAACATTTCTTGAGTTTTAGATAGCTTAGATTCATGTTCCTGGCATATAATAATTTTATATTTTTAAAGGTGCAAGAAAACATTGTAACTATGTGAATATAATTAAACATTAACTATATTTTTAGATTATATTAATAATCAGTTTGAAAAAATGCTTTTTAAACTGAAACAAATGTTTGAACAATGACATGGACTATGAATACTTATATTTGATGCATTTTATAGTTTCCAAAGGACTTTTGTATTTTAAATCTCATGTAAACCTTTTAGTTGTATATCTGTAAAGTGGGCATATTAATGGTGTCTAATAGAATAATTGGGAGGAGGGTATTAGAATTAAATGAGATATATTGCATATTAAGCATTAGTGCTTGGTACGTTGGAAATATTTATTAGCTATTTTTATTTAAACTTTCTTTAAATTGATTTGTGCCTTTTTTGTTTTTGTTTTTAATTGCACCTATTTTTAGTTAAGATATGACATTTAGTAAGGCGAATAAATCTTCAGTGTACAGTGTGTAATCACCTTCTAGATCAATATTTACAATGTTTTTATCACTGTAAAAGTTTCTCTTGTGCTCTTTCTCAGACAATTCCCCTCCTTTCCCCTCCCAGACATAATGATTATTCTGTCTTCTATCACCATAGATTAGTTTTGCCTATACTTTAACTTCCAGTGAATGGAATTATAACTATACTCTTTTCTGTCTGTTTTCTTCCCCCTTAACATTGTCAGAGTTTCATCCATGTAGTCACATGTATCAGTTCGTTTGTTTGTTTATTTATAATGCTGTGATTCCATTGGAGGAACATATGGCAATTACTTATCTTATTGATGCATATTTTGGTTGTTTCCAGTGTTTGACTATTATGAATAAAGCTGCTATGAATATTTTTGTATAGGTTTTCTGGTGTACTTTTGTATTCATTTCTCTTCAGTATATACCAAGGAGTGGAATTGCTCTGGATCATAGAGTTGGTGTATGTTCGATTTGCTCAACTTACATAGTTCTTGCCAAACAGTTTTCCCAAAGTGGTTGAACTAAATTACATTTCTACTGGCGTTTTCCACCAGCAATGGGAGTTTGCTTATCTCCACATCCTGGTCAACACTTAGTATAGTCATGTCAATCCTATTAATTTTAGCTCTTCTGGTGGGTGTATATTGGTAACTACTGGTTTTAATTTGCATCCCTCTGGTGAGTAATTATCTTGAACATCTTTTCATACATTTATTGGTCATTTGGATATCTTTTGTGAAGTATACTTGTTCAGTCTTTGCACCTATTTTTTCAATTAGATTGTTTGCCTTTTCTTATTGATGTGTCAAATATAGCCAATGCACATATCTTCTCCCTGTGAATCTATTGCTGATTCACTTTCTTCACAATATCTTTTGATGAATAGAGGTTTTTAATTTTAATAAAGTCTAATGAAATCAATTTTTTTCTTTTATGGTTAGTTTTGTTTTTGCATTCTGTATTAGAAATTGTCATCAATCCCAAGGTCATGAAGGTAGTCTTATTTTTTTTAGAAGCTTTTATTGTTTCGCTTTTCATATTATATAGATCTATGCTACTTCTCTAATTTTTGTGTACAGTCAAGGTTAATTTTTTTACCTACAGACATCTAGTTGCTTCAGCACCATTTGTTAAAAAGACCATACTTTCTACCAGGATTTCATTGGAGTTTTTGTCATAAATCAAGTAACTCTGTGTGTGAATCTATTTCTGGAGTTTTTTTTTCTTATTTGTTCTACTGATATATTGGTCTATCCTTGTGCTAGTGCCATACTATCTTAATCACTGTAGTTTGTCTTCTGATTTTCTTTTTCTTTCAAAATTATCTTGGTGGTTCTAAGTCCTTTGTGTTTCTATATACATTTTAGAATTGGCTTCTCAATTTCTGCACATATGTCTGCATACATGTGTGCATGCACACACACACACACACACACACACACACACTTGCTGGGATTTCGATTTAGATTGCATAGACTCTATAGATCATTTTGGGGGAGAATTGACATCTTAACATTACTGAGTTTTCTAAACTATGAACATGGAATATTTCTCCATTTATTTAGGTCTTTATATCAGGAATGTTTTGTAGTTTTTAATGTAGAGAACTTATATATTTTTCATTAGATTCATTCCTAAATATTGATATTTTCTGTTGCTGTTGTCAGTGGTATTTTTGGCAGTGAAAGAAAAAATTTTGAACTCTGTGGATATAATCATGACAGAAATGTACTAAGTGAATTTTAATTGAACTGAATTGTTTGCAGAAGGTATAGTTGGCAACCACTAAAATGTATTATGGATATAATGTCTTATTTTCTTGATTCATTCTTTAGTTTAAAAAATTAACAGTTAAATGGCATTTTAAAAATAAAAATTTGAAAGAAACTTAAGTAGGCTTCTATTTTTTTTTGAGGTATAGCTTCCCTGTAGTAAAATGCACAACTTTAAGTGTGCAGTTTGATGAGTTTTTTCCTCAATATCCACCCATGTAGCCACTATCTAGATCAAGATATAGGACATTTCCAGTCAATCTTGTACCCTTCCTCTATAGGTAACCACATACGTAACTTTTAAGGCTTTGCTTATAAACATTTGTGTCATATTGACATTGAATAAGTAGTTGCTTTTGAGTTATTATAAAGTGGGTTTTTTACTTTCAGCAGAAATAGTAGTGTTGTTTTGGGAGTATTGTTAATTGGGGTTAAACTATGATGTTTATATTTTACTAGAGGGATTGTACTCTTTTTTTTTTTTCACTGCATGGGAGGTATAATTTGACTTGTGTTATAAGGTTGTATAGTGAGAAGCTCACTAGTGAGGTGTTTGGTAATTCATTGCTCTAGTGAATATTGCTTTTGGTTGACCTTTTTCCTTAATACTTCCAAGTATGTATACTTATTTTAGTGGTTCTAGCACAGCAGATCTGAGCATCTCCAGCAAAAATCTACTTTTAGGTCTGATGGTCAAGAATAGGATGAAAAGTTGGGAAATGGAAGTTGGGGAAAAATTGAAAAGATCAGAAAGATTGGCCTACTAGCAAGCTGATTTTATATAAGTGGTGAACCTAGCACTTCTTAGACACTCAGTAAGTAAGTGATGACTATGAAGCCTCAAAGTCCAATCACAGACTGAAGGCCAAGGAAGATACCTCCTTGGTTTTTGGAAAGTGCTTGTTGTTTCCTGCTGTTAGTATTTTTTCCCCAATGGATTAGTTGAGGAACACACAGACACACAGTATACACATACACACAAATACATATATATTTTTTAGACTTTTAAATTGACGTATAACATATAGAGACATTACATTATTTAAATACATTGATTAAAAGTGTATATATAAATGTTTCTCAAATAACATGTTTGTTTAATAAAGTCCCTGTTGTGCTTCCTGCCATTCACTACCTCACCCCAAAGGTAACCAGTATCTTGACTTCTAACACCACGTATACGTATATAAATGTAATAATATAATATAATATGTACTATGTTCATTTGATTTGCTCAGCATCATGTGTATGTGATCCACATTGTTGAAGGAGCGGTAATTGTTTCATTCTCTTTGCTGTATAGAGTAAGTATAATATCTAATAGCTTAGATAATCTTAGGGCAAAGTTCTGCTTAAATACTTTTCTCCCTAAAGCAGTTTCTAACACAGTGTTAATATAGGGATTGGAGAGGCATTTTTACTGAGAGAAACAGGTACCCAAGGAATACTAGGAAGGAGGAACATGCTGTGTTCTCTTAAGAGCCAGTGCATCAGCTTGGTGGTAAAGAAGTTACACACCTCCATACATTTCCTCTGTGTTTTGTGAAATTTATTTACTCTTTCTTTTTTGCAAATACATTTAGTTTATTATTAAATGATATTTCAAAAATATCTCATCATTGCCTTTTTTTAAATGAGTTAAATATAAAAGTCAGAAAAATCTGGTAGTTTATTTCTACATCTAACATGTAGAAGCCATAAAATGGTTTTCACAGTATCATAATACTTCACAACTTTGTCAAAAATATAGATGTTAGATATAGATATGGGAATTAAGGATGTATCACAAGAAAGCACACCAGAAGCCAGTTCTGAAAATAATAAATGCTGACCCTTATTTGAGAAGTACACTTACTAAGATTCAATATTAATGAGGCATAATTACTAGATGCTTTCAAATAAAACTGTCTAATTTTTGAAATGTCGAAAATGTCATTGTATGAAAATTTGAAGAAGGGTTAGAAATCATGTGAAATTTATTTACTTTTGCTAGTAGAAAGGTTTTTTTTTTTAGGTTTATATACTTTGGTAATAACAGTAATAGCTAATGTTTATAGGGCTCGTACTAGGTACAAGTACTATGCAAAGCGATTTACTTAAACTACTTGATTTTACTTTCACCAAAACTAATGTTTTGTTAATATTCTGTACTTTGAAGTTTTGGTCAGTGCAAATGAATACATTCTTTAAACTTATATTAGGGTATGTGGCTTCCAGTTTCTAACTCTTTGTTCTTTTCACGAATAGATATGTCATTGATGGTGCCACTGCTCTTTGGTGTGCAGCAGGAGCAGGACATTTTGAAGTTGTTAAACTTCTTGTCAGTCATGGAGCCAATGTGAACCACACTACAGTAACTAACTCAACCCCCCTGCGTGCAGCTTGCTTTGATGGCCGACTGGACATTGTGAAATACTTGGTTGAAAATAATGCCAACATCAGCATTGCCAACAAGTACGACAACACTTGCCTAATGATTGCAGCATATAAGGGACACACTGATGTGGTCAGATACCTTTTAGAACAACGTGCTGATCCCAATGCTAAAGCACATTGTGGAGCCACAGCATTGCACTTTGCAGCTGAAGCTGGGCACATAGACATTGTAAAAGAGCTGATAAAATGGCGTGCTGCTATAGTAGTGAACGGCCATGGGATGACACCATTAAAAGTGGCTGCTGAAAGCTGTAAAGCTGATGTTGTCGAACTGTTGCTCTCTCATGCCGATTGTGACCGAAGAAGTCGGATTGAAGCTTTGGAACTCTTGGGTGCCTCCTTTGCAAATGACCGTGAGAACTATGACATCATGAAGACATACCACTATTTATATTTAGCCATGTTGGAGAGGTTTCAGGATGGTGATAATATTCTTGAGAAAGAGGTCCTCCCACCAATCCATGCTTATGGGAATAGAACTGAATGTAGAAATCCTCAGGAACTGGAATCCATTCGGCAAGACAGAGATGCTCTTCATATGGAAGGCCTTATAGTTCGGGAACGGATTTTAGGTGCCGACAATATTGATGTTTCTCATCCCATCATTTACAGGGGAGCTGTTTATGCAGATAACATGGAATTTGAACAGTGTATCAAGTTGTGGCTTCACGCCCTGCACCTCAGACAGAAAGGTAACAGGAATACCCACAAAGATCTTCTTCGATTTGCTCAAGTTTTCTCACAGATGATACATTTGAATGAAACTGTGAAGGCCCCAGACATAGAATGTGTTTTGAGATGCAGTGTTTTGGAAATAGAACAGAGTATGAACAGAGTACGAAATATTTCAGATGCTGATGTCCACAATGCTATGGACAATTATGAATGTAATCTCTATACCTTTCTGTATTTAGTGTGCATCTCCACCAAAACACAGTGCAGTGAAGAAGATCAGTGCAAAATTAACAAGCAGATCTACAACCTGATTCATCTTGATCCCAGAACTCGGGAAGGTTTCACCTTGCTGCATCTAGCTGTCAATTCGAATACCCCAGTTGATGATTTCCACACCAATGATGTCTGCAGCTTTCCAAATGCGCTTGTCACCAAGCTCCTGCTGGACTGTGGTGCTGAGGTGAATGCTGTGGACAATGAGGGGAACAGTGCCCTGCATATTATCGTTCAGTACAACAGGCCCATCAGTGATTTTTTGACCTTGCACTCTATCATCATTAGCCTAGTTGAAGCTGGCGCTCACACTGACATGACAAATAAACAGAATAAGACTCCGCTAGACAAAAGTACAACTGGGGTATCTGAAATACTACTTAAAACTCAAATGAAGATGAGTCTCAAGTGCCTGGCTGCCCGAGCAGTTCGGGCTAATGACATTAACTACCAAGACCAGATCCCCAGAACTCTTGAAGAGTTTGTTGGATTTCATTAAGTGACTGGATATGTAAAATCGTTTAATGTGGTGCTAAAAAGTAAAGAACTTTAATCACAGACAATAGAATTATGTGTTCATAAATTCTGCTTATCTTTCCACTACCTTTCTCTCTTCTCATCCTTCCTTAGTTCTGTATTTTGTCTTTTTGCCTCATTGGGTAATTGATTGCAGATACACTTGAAACAAAGCCACATTGTTTAGGTGTAACTAAGGTGTTTGAATATTGGTTACTTAACTATTTTTCTTTTTTTCTTTTTGTAAGGAATGAATATAAAATATTTTGTTTATGCAATAAGGAACATTTATGATTTGAAGTTGATAATGTTGAAAACTGCCTACAAAAGTATTTCTGTTAAGCCTTTGTCAGCATGTTATCCTTGCAGCAGGTTTGAGGATTTCATGAGGAAAAACAACTACAAAAGAACACTAAAAGTAATGGAATGCAGGTGTTCTGCACATGCCAAACTGCTGTAGGTAATTTACATTCTTCCATTATTTATGTGGAGTGATAATACATTACACTAGGAGGATTTAATAAAATATAGCTGCAGATTAATCTGAAAAATGTGCTAATTAATAATAGTTACAAATTTATAAAGTTAAATCCATTGAAATTGTCGCATTATGCTAGGTGATATATACAAAGTAGTAATAATCTTAAAGCAACTTTTCAGAGAATATTGATGGACTATTTGCCTTTAGGCTTCGAATTCTAAAATTCTTTGAAGTCTCTGTTTTAATATAGTTTATCTAAATTGCAGCAGTCTGCATTTGACTCATCTCACAGACATGTAAAAATTATGAATGCTATGCTTTTTGTGAAACAAATTGTCATATATAGTTCCACGTTCTATTTTTGTTCCTTTCTCCCTTTCCTTCTGTGTAGTATCTTTTAAAATTTGGAAACTACTTTTCCAGAGGGCATTATTTGTGCCTCCCCAATAAGGTGTGTATGACAGATGAAAAGGAACCAGGATATTTTTCATTTTTTCACTTTGTTTACTTAGTCTGTGATAAGAAGTAGAAAATATCACTAGTGTGGTATAGGAAATTAATGTTTTTGATGATGAAAATAATTTGCAATGCCACTTTGAAAGCTATTTCTGTCTGAGAGCTGCAGACTTTTCAACCACAAAATGTCACTTATTCTGACAGGCTGTACAGAGGTCTTTATGATTTTTGTTTTGTTTTGTTTTGTTTAAATGGCAACATTTTAAGTGTCAGACTAAAAGTGTATTCTGTGATTATCTTTTAAGCATCACAGAAATTCAAGTAAAGGGTACACACCTATTTTTATTAATGTTAAAAATGATAAAGTAAAATTAGCTATAATTGTATTTTTCTCTCTAGTGCCAAATGAATGCCTTAGCTACTCATAGTGCATGGTACTGTAAGTGAAGATCTACAGCCTTTTTTTTTTTTTCGTTAATGAAAAGCATTATAATGATGTAGCAACATCAGATACAAACTTAAAAAAAAACCTGTAAAGTTTCAGTTTTATGTATGGATATTGCTCTTTGAAGTATAAGCGAAAGGTTGCAGTTAGATCAGTATAAAACATAATGACCAAGCCAAAATCTGCACCTAGGGGCCTTAAATAAAATGGTGATACCCCACAAAATGAAATACTTTGAAGGGTGGGAGGGACTAGAAGGGGGAACTTTAAAAACTTTTCCCCCAAGAGTGCAAGATACTTTTACAGCTACTGTAGTTATACTTCGTGTGTCTTCTTGCTTCAGTTAGGAATGTTTTGATGGTAAATTCTGTCATGATAATATATTTCTGTTTTCCTAACCTGCGATTTTTACAAGTAAGATTGTTAAGATGTTTTAAAGGGAGATATTTGAGCCCTAATTCGAAAATTATTGGCCTTGATCCTCCTGGTGTGAATCAAGGAAATGCTGTACCTTGCTTTTGGCAACTCTCATGGACTGAAAGAGAAAATACACCTCCTCAAGGTGAGTGAATCACGCCTTTCCACAGCTCAGACCAGACCCTATACATTTGAGAAAAGGCCTGCTTATTTGACAGTTTGAGGAATGGCTATGACACTTGATATTCAGTTCGTTCCATTATTAATGTATATGATTTTTAAACATCAAAACTTAAAATGTTGGATAATGTTGCATGTTTTAAAAAACATTTCATCGCGTTGGCTACCCAGGACCATCACTGTTTTAGATATTATTTATAAAATGAGGATAATGATTATATGTATATATCTAGACATCAAAATTTAATGATAGTGTTTTTGAGAAGGGAGGACTGAATGCTAGAGAAAGTAAACCTGCTGACTGAAATGTTGACAAAGTTAGAGAAATAATTTGAAGACAGTGGAATAAACTACGAACTCTCTAATGGTAACTTTTTTTTTTTTTTACTATAGTATAGTAGTACATTGTATACTATATTGCTAAGGATCTAATTCTGTCTTGTAAAATAAATCCAAATTTGTATTGTGAAACACCTGTATAAAACCATTCTTGAAACAAGTGATCTACATGCCTGTTTTTATTTGTTTTTGGTAGAATTATTTTTAAATGTTTAGCCAAACCCTTCCCAAGCTTAAGTTTTTTTTTGTTTGTTTGTTTGTTTTTATAAGGAAAATAGGTAAGAAAGGTGGTAGTTCTGTATCTCAGCTCTCTGAGAACTTTAGGCTGTCCATTTTCCAGCCATTTTGTCATTTTGTTTCTTATTGGTAAGATTACCCTTTGGATTGTAAGTCTTTCTTGATAACATTACAAATTCAATCAGAACTTTTGTCTTACTCAATAATTGTCATAAATTTGGTCGAACTAGAGGCCCAGGTGGATGAATCCCTGGGCAAAACATGTGAAACCTAGCTTGGTTTTATGCTTTTAATATAGTTGGTGAAATTGAGTTCTCAAGTTTAGGTAACTACTTAACTCAAGGAACAGGCAGCAAATCTGTCCCCTCAACTGATAAAGAATGAGGGCATTTTTGGCATAAGAACTCTGACACAACATTGTTTTTTTAAGTCTACCCTGGATTGCTCTAGTAGGCCACAGTCTAACTACATTAAGGTTCTTTGCTGTGGGCAATTCCAACAGACAAACACCAAAAGGCAAGCTTTGGTCTTGCTGGTTTCCGGGAAGGGTTTTGTTTCATGATACAATCATTGATTAATAACTAGTAATTATGAGAAACTTACGTATGATAGCACTAGGTAAAATAAAATATGATTTGGAAGCAGCAGCTCCCTAAGAATGAACTCTGCATTTGGCAAGCATTTTTGAAAATTAAAATCCCAAGGGAACAACACCTTGTCACCAGTTTCCATTACAGTCGAAGCAGCTCCTCCATAAATAAGACCATTTTGGATTATTCGAGCAGAAGTATTTTTTTTTGTTTGGACTGGGGCAGGGTGAGGAGTGAGTTGCTGGACCTTAGATTACAGTTTGCTGGTTTTAGAAACAGATCGAACTAGTGAATAGATGGATAAAAGTATAAAGGACTTGTTTTTATGATAGATTTTCTGTAAAAATCTTAACTGTTCTTTTTCAGGCTAGCCAGATGTATTAATATACAGATGACTATGCTGTTTTCCTTACCGACTATACTATAACATTAAAATGGGTTAAAGAAATCTAAACTCTGTTTTTGCTCTATGAAAAGTTACTAGTTCAGAAGATTCTAAGCTGTGTGCTCATTGCTACTGTGAAAATGCACAGCTCTGCTCTGGATACCTTCTCTGGAAAGTAGAAAGCTCCCAGTTACGTATGGCTCATTGCAGGGCTTTCTCATACATTTCTGGCAGATTTGCCCAAATCTTCAGATGGGCTGGGTTCTATAGCATTCCCTCCCCCAGGTATGGGATCTAAAATAAATACTACACTGATAGTGGTGATAGATATATTAATTTTTAAAACTATAAATGTGGTCTCTAGTCCTAGGTTTGTGGTGTGTTCCTTTGGGTTAATTGGAAGGGAAGGGAAACTGATTTTGGTTATGGGGAGTGTATCTTGATGTGTGTGCAGGGGTGAGTATTGCTAAATTATTAACAACTTTTCATTTAGGGGGTTGAGTCACATGATGTATGGCCTAATCAGAAAAATGAAGGAGCAAAGATGCAAGCTTTGCCAAGTGATGAAGTGAACAAGGTTTTGTATCTGTTTTTTTTTGTTTTGTTTTTTGTTTTTTAATCAAGTGTTGTAAAATCTATGCATGGCTTTTTTTTTCGTTGTTGCTTAGTAACTGGTAGAGGAGAAAATATGAGGGAAAAAAGCCCTCAGCTTTGCTAACCAATCTTTTCAGAGGTACATAGTTCGGGAGTAAAATCTGACTGGCCTAACATGTTGAAAGATCCTGTCCTTTGTAATATTCACCCCATCCCACAATCCTCCATGTAGAGGAACTAAATGGTTGTATTATAGTAATTCACTGTGATTTATAACAAACCAGTGATGTCATTCTATTGTGCACTTTTGTCAAACAAACCATTTACGTGACTTTAATAAACTTAGTAAACTTGCCGACTGCACCAGAGGTCTATTAGTGATTTATATATTGCATGACATTTTCTATTTGAGTTTGACATGTAGAATTATTTTTAATTTCATGGTAGTCTACAGTCCTAATAGCCCAGCTAATTTGAAACTAACAATATTGCTGTGTAAAAGGAAAAAAATGGTGTTTGTGTTCAGTAAATGTTTGAAAAAAATTACCTCGAAGTTTGTGTCTTTATTGTTCAGTGTGCTTTAGCTGAGATGATCTTTGGCTGAATTCATTTGGGAAAAAAGTTGTTATACATGTGCATGGGAAAAGAATTCAGTAAAGAAAAATTCAAATAGAGGAGAAACAAAATTCCCTTCTCATCCCTCTCTGCCTCCCATTTGGACTATTCAGAGGGTAATCACCATTACTAGTTTTTTGAGTAGCTTCCCCCAATTTTCTGTGCATATATGTATTCTTTTCATTTTTTAAAAATACAAGTGGACTTTTACCTTTCTTCTGCATCTTGTCTTTTTCGTTTACTATATCTTAGGTTTTTTTCCCCTCATTTTGGTGTGTGTGTATATATGTGTGTGTATATATATATACACACACATATATACACACACACAAAAACCCATAGCATTTCTGTGAGTGTACCTGAAATTTATTTAACCAGGTCTTATTAATGAACTTTTAGGTTTTCAGTTTACTGATACTCCAAATAATGTTTCAGTGAACTTCCTAATATACTGTATTCACAGAACAAATTCATTCCTAGCACTGGAATTTCTGGTTTAGTGACTAAGATCTTGGTAGATGTTATCAAATTGCCTTCCATCTCCCTTATTGCCATCAGATATTACCTAATCATTTAGTTTTTGCCAAGGCGATAGATGAAAAATAGTATTTCATGGTTTTGATTTCCATTCCTTTATTATGAATGGGGTTAACACTTTCATATATTTACTGACCTTTACATTTCTTTGTTTGCTTTTGGCTTATGGTCTTTTTCTTATTAGAAATTCTTTGGAAGTTTAAGGAAATTTTCTCTGTCATATGACAGTTTATAGTTTGTTTTTTGACTTTAGTAGTTTTTATAGCAGAATTTCAAAGTTTTAGGTAGCTAGACTTTTTTTTTAATGAATTCTGAGTTTTGTTCTTGCTGCTTATAAGGTTGTCTCCATTCCAAGGTCATACATAAATCATTTTTAGCTGTGTTTTCTAGTCCTTTTATGGCTTCTTCCTCTTCTTTCCTTCCTCCTTTTCTCCTCCTCAGGTGGTTCACAAAGCTTGCTGGCAAACTTAGACAAAATTGTATTTTTCTGATTTGCCTTTGCTTTGTAAATTGGTGTGCTTGGTCCTGAGAGCAGGACTGGGGTTTGCTCCTGCCTCAAGCAGTGGGAACTAACTGTTGGAAATTAATGCTTATTAAGCACCTACTGTGTGTCAAGTACTATACCAGGGGTGTGCATACAATAATAAGACTGTTCCTGCCCTTGGTAAGCTGCTTGTCCAACTGAGTGCCCACCCTTATTTGAAATCTGATTTTCTGTTTTTCCTCAAACTTTAATTTCCCAAATAAAATTTTATGATGGTACTTTCTGATTCTGGCTTGGGCCACCTTCTGAAACATTTCAGAAAACATTATCATTTGAGTTGAGCCTTTTTTTTTTTTCTTTAATGTAGGAGTACCAGGGAGATAACAACATATAAAACTAATGACAAAGAATGAGTCCATTAAGGAATGGTACCCCATCATTTTTTAAAAAAATATTTTTCTGCTCATACTCTACCTTTGCTAGGTACGTTTTAGCCTATATCTTGTTGAAAAGTTCCATAGCCGCCCAGGTGCCAGGCCTCCAGCAAAGCTCCTCTGTTCTGTTTCAGTGTCTGTTTTGGAACATGGTGTCCTACTTTAGTGTGATGTCAAAGCTAATGGAATAGACAGTAACACAAAAGCTTGTGGTCGATTAAGCTTGACTGCTCTTTGAGAAGTGCCTAGTTGATGTTAGTACTAATGTAAGGATAACTTGGGGGATTTTTTTAATAGTAAGAAGTACAGAATAAAGGGCTGAAGACCTTAACCAAAGGTAAAAACAGAGGCCAAGGTGTTGTTGAATGAAAATGGGATTATTTACCACTAATGGCCATAGTAAGCCAAGTCACCCAAGGCACATCTGGTGGTGGAGAGACCTGGCCACTTCTTGTTTGCAGTGAGGTGTGGTTGCAGTGAGTCATTAGGCCAGAAAAGGAGCGTGAGTGAGCCAGCTGTTTCTATTATAGGCTGCTTGGCATCTTGGGGCTTGAAGCCAGGATAACTGACTCAAGTCTAGTGTCTTATTCTGAGAGAGTATTGACAGTAAAAGCTTGTGACCGCTGATGGAGATAGCAACTTGTCTTTTAAAGCCCTCTAGGAAAGGCGAGTTCCACATCTCTCAGAAGCTCTTTCACATTCCCCCTGGCAGAGTCTTTCTCCCTCTGTTGTGTTTGAATTAACACTTTGCCCCTTCTACCTGATACCTTTCCTGTACCTTCCTTCCTTGAAAGGAAAACCCAGAAACTCCACTCTTTGGGGGGTTTTGTTGGTTTTTTTTGGCGGAGCTGCCACCAAAATAGGCCCAAGGGCGACTGAGAAAGGCTGCATTGTTTAAGAACCTGACATTGAAGTTTAGAGAATAACAATATTATGGCTCTAGATTGCTGGTTTTCTAAGTTTAATGTGCTTGAAAATGCCTCATAGAAATTGGATCTGGGAGGTATGGGTGGATCTTAGTCTGTGGTTCTGATTGAGGTGGCTCTGGGACCCCACTTTGAGAAGCTCAGCTCTGGATACGTAATCTACTTTAAGAGGCACAATTTGCCCCATGAGCTTGAATGCCCACACTATCTAATGTCAGAGAGAAGCAGCACTCTTGTCTGGATTTCTCCTTTACAGCTCACCTGGCCAGAACTGACAGACACCATAATTGATGTCCATTTCCCGGAGACTAGGATAGCACAAGGGCCTGAGGACCCTCTCGGATCTCCCCAAGGTCTGCTCCTCAGCTTCCCTGAGGGCCTGCCCCATCCCGCATAGGGTCTCACCATGTCAGAACTAACAGTGAAACCATCTAGGACATCTTGCACTTCTCATTTCATAACTTCTTGTTGGAGGTCTTTCTCCTCTACTAGACAGTGAGCCTCGAATTTAAGAAATCCCCACAATCTGTGGACCAAATTCTAAAAGCACCTTCTGTTGGTAATTTGGTTTACAAGAGTCAGACCTTGCCCCCGGCATGTTTTTTCCTATGTACTTGTTTGCTGCAGACTTGCTTGGAAGTCAAAGCAGCTTGTTTAGAATAGTGTCTAGGATGGGCCAGTAATGCTTCTAAAATGAGGGTCCCCAAGCTCCAGGCTGCAGACCCTTGCTGATCCATATGTGGCCTGTTAGGAACTTGGCTGCACAGCAGGAGGCGAGTGGAGGTGAGCAAAGCTTCATCTGTATTTGCAGCTGCTCCCCAGCCCTAGCATCACCACCTCAACTCTACCTCAAATTATCAGGCATTAGATTCTCGCAGGAGCATCTGTCTCGTGCCAAAAAGGTTGGGGACCACTGTTCTAAAAGATTGAACCATTTTAAAGTTGGTTACACTTCATGTTAACACTCGATGAGTTCCGCTCTTAGCTCCATCATAATTATTCTTAACTACCAGATAGAACATTTCTAATAACATCCATGTGTGAACTGCAATATGAATTTTAATGTTGATTTGAGGTTGCATTTTGGATTGCTTGCACTAAATGCCAAAATTGATTCAGAGACTGCTGTTCATTTCCCCTTTCAGACAAAAATCTGCAGCAAATCCCACTCTGGAGACTTGGAGGCATGAGAACGTCTTCCAGACGTCAGGATGGAGCTGAGTTCATTTAAACATTACGATGAGAGCACAGTTCCCATTACTCATTATAGATGGTCACTGGTGCCATGTTCACCTCTTGTTTGGTTTCTAGCGTGTGTGGTCACCTGCCTGTTGACCTCGACTCTCAGCACCAGTGGAACTTTGAAACAAAATGATACCTTTCCTGACCAATATGAGTTCCTGGGGCAGGCCCTTGCCTAGGTATCTCTTAAAACTCCTGTGTGATTCTAAAGTGTAGCCTGGCCTGAGAAAGAGCTCTAGCATGAGGCTTCGCTCCCTACAAAAATGCATCTTCTCTGCTTGCCCTCCCAGGCTCTCAAGGCCAGTCTGAGGATGTTTATATCCCAGAGCAAATAACTTGGAAAGGGAGACTGGATGAGAGAAAGAGGAGAGCGACACAGTGCGAGGGCTTGACGACACTTGGGCTGCATCTGACCTGCAGGTACATTTTGTTTGGCCTGCAGTGGGGTTGCACGTGTAAATTTTTTTAAAATGTGAACATCAGTCTTTAAAAGTCAGGTTTCCATAAAAACATTCAGAGTTGATGGGTTTTGACTAAAGACATGGTGCTAAATCAAACAAAGCACTTTTGAGCGTGGGTTCATCCATTCCCCTTCAGCCAGGTTACTCTGTTCATGGGGGCAATGACTCAAATGAAATATGATTTCAAAATATTTCCTTCTGATTTTGGTTTCACCACTTGAGAAAAAAATATTCCCATAAAGAGTTATTTTGTATCAATGTCTTCTTCACTGTAAGCCCTTCTGAAACTGGGCTAGAACGACAGTCTGGTGAGAGAGAGAGAGCACTGTCCTGGGATTAGTTTATTTTGCCATGTAACCTAGGGCTACCTCTTAATTTCTCTGGTTCTAGGATCCTCATCTATGGGGGGAGCCAGATCAAGTAATCTCTGAGTTTCTATTTCTGGCTTCTTGGGATTACCATGACACAAGAACAGGATGGAGACAACTTGGTCTAAGAGCAGCTTGTGTGTGACGATGAAGAAACTCAGGTTGTAAGAAGGTCAGCACTGAGATGCTAGCTTGGAGAAGTCTGGGAGGCCTGACAGGGAAGAGCTGGAACTAAGGGGTAGAGGCCACAGTGACAAGCGGGTTTCAACCATCCAAACTGGACTAAGATGGAATGAGTGGTCTTGGGAGGGAGGGAGTGCTCTATCATTGGAGATGTCGATCCCCGACCAGACAGCCACTTGGAGGGGATGTTGCAGGGAGCAGATGGTGAACAAGTCCCTTCTCAATACTTAGAGGTAACGGCAAGGAAGCAGGGAGCCCCTCCTCCTCTACCTCTTCTCCAAGAAAAGAATGCTGTC